ATGAAGCGTCTGGCTATTCAAAATGTTGCCCGGCAATGTCCTCCTCCTCCTCCTCCTCCTCCTCCTCGTCCTCCTCCTCCTCTTCCTCCTCCTCCTCCTCCTCCTCCTCCTCCTCCTCCTCCTCCTGGTGGTCCTCCCCCTCCCCTCCTCCTCCTCCTCCTCCTCCTCCTCCTCTTCCTGGTCGTCCTCGTTCTCGTCCTCCTCGTCTTGCTCGTCCTCCTCCTCGTGGTGTTCTCTCCTCCTCCTCCTCCTCCTCCTCCTCCTCCTCCTCCTCCTCCTGGTGGTCCTCGTTCTCCTCCTCCTGGTACTCTCCCCCCCCCTCCTCCTCCTCCTCGTCCTCGTCCTCCTCCTCCTCCTCCTCCTCCTCCTCTCCTCTTCCTCCTCCTCCTCCGCCTCGTCCTCCTCCTCCTCCTCCTCCTCCTCCTTCTCCTCTTGGTACTCCTCCCCCTCGCCCATCCTCCTCTCCTCCTCCTCCTCCTCTTCCTGTTCGGCCTCCTCCTCCTGGTTGTCCCTCCTCCTCCTGCTCGTCCTCCTCCTCCTCCTGCTCGTCCTTCTTCTCCTGCTCCTCCTGCTCCTCGTCCTGCTCCTGCTCGTCCTCGTCCTCCTGGTCTTTCTCGTCCTCCTCCTCGTCGTGCTCTTGCCCCTGCTGAAAATGTGGCCCAGGAATGGGAGTTCTGGGAAGTCGAAGAGCACGAAGTTTCCTACAGTTGGCTACGGGCATTCAAAATGTGGCCCGGGAATGGAGTTCTGGGAACTCGAAGAGCACGAAGTGGCCTACAGTTGGCTCCGGGCATTCAAAATGTGGCCCGGGAATGAGTTCTGGGAACTCGAAGAGCACGAAATGGCCTACAGTTGGCTCCGGGCATTCAAAATGTGGCCCGGGAATGGAGTTCTGGGAAATAGAAGAGCACGAAGTGGCCTACAGTTGGCTCCGGGCATCCAAAATGTGGCCCAGGAATGGCGTTCTGGGAACTCGAAGAGCACGAAGTGTCTGACTGTTGCATCCGGCCCCCCAGAATGTGGCCCGGGAATGGCGTTCTGGGATGTCGAAGAGCACTTTGTGTGTGACTGTTGCATCCGGCCCCCCAGAATGTGGCCTGGGAATGGAGTTCTGGGAAGGCGAAGAGCACAAAGTGTGTGACTGTTGGTGGAAAACGAGCCCGGCTCATGCCGCCCGGAAACGCCCCAACACCTGCCCGGACCCCCCTGTGGAGTGATCTGTGAGCTCTTTTGAGACCACTAGAAACCTATCAGTCTTCGCTGTTAGGTAAAAATCCAGTTGTCGAATTCTGCTGTTCTCGCAGTCGTAGTCGCATTCGCGATGACAGTCGCAGCGGCAACGGCAGTCGCAGTCACAGCCTCAGCCTCAGCCTGCCTCCTCCTCCTCCTCCTCTTTCTCCTGCTCCTCCTCCTCCTCCTCCTCCTCCTCCTCTTCCTCCTGCTCGTCCTCGTTCTCGTCCTCCTCGTCTTGCTCGTCCTCCTCCTCCTGGTGCACTCTCCTCCTCCTCCTCCTCCTCCTCCTCCTCCTCCTCCTCCTCCTGGTGGTCCTCGTTCTCCTCCTCCTGGTGCTCTCCCCCCACCTCCTCCTCCTCGTCCTCCTCCTCCTCCTCCTCGTCCTCCTCCTCCTCTTCCTCCTCCTCCTCCTCCTCCTCCTCCTCCTCCTCCTGGTAGTCCTCCCCCTCCCCTCCTCCTCCTCCTCCTCCTCTTCCTGGTCGTCCTCGTTCTCGTCCTCCTCGTCTTGCTCGTCCTTCTCCTCCTGGTGTTCTCTCCTCCTCCTCCTCCTCCTCCTCCTCCTCCTCCTCCTGGTGGTCCTCGTTCTCCTCCTCCTGGTACTCTCCCCCCCCCTCCTCCTCCTCCTCCTCGTCCTCGTCCTCCTCCTCCTCCTCCTCCTCTTCCTCCTCCTCCTCCTCCTCCTCCTCCTCCTCCTGGTACTCCTCCCCCTCCCCTCCTCCTCCTCCTCCTCTTCCTGGTCGTCCTCCTCCTCCTGGTCGTCCTCCTCCTCCTGCTCGTCCTCCTCCTCCTCCTGCTCGTCCTTCTTCTCCTGCTTCTCCTGCTCCTCGTCCTGCTCCTGCTCGTCCTCGTCCTCCTGGTCTTGCTCGTCCTCCTCCTCGTCGTGCTCTTGCCCCTGCTGAAAATGTGGCCCAGGAATGAGAGTTCTGGGAAGTCGAAGAGCACGAAGTTGCCTACAGTTGGCTACGGGCATTCAAAAATGTGGCCCGGGAATGGAGTTCTGGGAACTCGAAGAGCACGAAGTGGCCTTCAGTTGGCTCCGGGCATTCAAAATGTGGCCCGGGAATGGAGTTCTGGGAAGTCGAAGAGCACGAAGTGGCCTACAGTTGGCTCCGGGCATTCAAAATGTGGCCCGGGAATGGAGTTCTGGGAACTCGAAGAGCACGAAGTGGCCTACAGTTGGCTCCGGGCAGCCAAAATGTGGCCCGGGAATGGAGTTCTGGGAACTCGAAGAGCACGAAAAAAAAAAAAAAAAAAAAAAAAATAAGTGTGTACTGTTGCATATCCGTGCACCCCAGAATGTGGCCCGGGAATGGCGTCTGGATTTCGAAGAGCACTTTGTGTGTGACTGTTTGCATCCGGCCCCCCATAATGGTGGCCTGGGAATGTCGAGTTCTGGGAAGGCTAAGAGCACGAAGTGTGTGACTGTTGGTGAAAAACGAGCCCGGCTCATGCCGCCCGGAAACGCCCCAACACCTGCCCGGACCCCCCTGTGGAGTGATCTGTGAGCTCTTTTGAGACCACTAGAAACCTATCAGTCTTCGCTGTTAGGTAAAAAGCCGTGTATATTCAAAGGCGAGGAAATGAGAGAAGGACAGGATGAGAAAGAGAGAAGGAGAGAAAGAGAGAAAGAGAGAGAGAGAGAGAAACGAGCGAGAGCGAGAGTGAGAGCAAGAGCGAGAGGCAGCACGATGCGGACAGGCGTGTCCGATAACCCAATGTACGGGCCGCGGGGCAATCTGCAGATCTTCTGAAGTCGGAGAAGCGGTGAAAAGGCACAACGCGCGGAAGAGCGCACGCGAGACGAGAGCGAGAGACAGATGCAACGCCGAAACAAAAGCGAGGGCGAGAGGAAGGGCGAGACGGACAGCGGCAGTGGGAGGGAGGGCGAGAGCGAGGACGAGAGGGGTGAGCGGGAGAGGGAGAGAAAGAGAGAGAGAGAGAGCGGGAGAGGGAGGGAGGCAGAGAGAGGGGGGGGCAGGGAAGAAGAGGGGGAGGGGGAGCGAGAGGGAGAGCGATACTCGGAGAGGGGGACGGAGTAAGGGGGAAAAGGAAAAGCTGGGTGCGCTCGCGCCACAGCTGACATCATATCCCTCTCTCCCATTCCTTCCCATTACGCTGTTTTCTCTCTTAATCTGCGGACGCGTGTCATGGCCGATCGGGAGCTAAAAAAGTATCGTAAATATGTAGAATCGGGAAAGGGGAGATGCGTACATAGTAGGAGGAGGAAGAGGAAGTGGCGGGCGAGCAGGAGGATGAGCAGGACGAAAAGGAGGAGAAGGAGGAGGTTGCGGTAGGAGGAGGACGGGGACGAACAGCAGCAGCAGCAGCAGCAGGAACTGGAGAGGAAGGAGCGGAAGGAGCAGGACGACCACGGGATAGCGGAGGGGAAATGAGGGGGCCGACAACGATGAAAAATGATCGGATCCATGAAAGTGGCCCGCTGAAAACGGAGCACCGTTTTGAAAGACCGACAGCAATCGGATTGTACAGCAAAAGGAGCATCACCTTCATCCGCCCCTGTGCACATCAGAAATGCGCGGGGAGAACTGGCCACTGTCTGAACGGAGTCGGGGGCGAGAGGGCAGCAGCACCCACTGTGCAGCTGCAGAGCGGAGGAAGGGGGGTGAGAGGGAAGTGGACGCTCAGGGTGCGCGCGCCCAGGTGAGAGGGAGGGTGGGAGGGAGGAGGGAGCGAGGAGGGTGGGAGCGAGGAGGGGAAGACGGAGAGGGGCACGTGCAGGGAGGGGCCCACTCCCTCAGCAGCCCCTGCGCCCCGAGCCCGCTCCCCGAGCTGGGGCCCGCCCTCCCCCGAGGGCACCTCGGCCTCTCTGAGCGGCCGGCCGCCATCGCGCACAGTTCGCCTCCCGCCCTCCGCCGGCTCCGCACCTCTGCCCGGCCCCCCTCCTCCCCCGGCCCTCTCCCCCTGCGCCTGCGGCAGTGGCGTGCTGGCTCCTGACACCGCGCGGATCGCTCCGCCTTGATCGAGCGGCTGCTCTGCGATCGCCGGGGGCGGGGGGAGGAGGAGGGGGAGGGGGAGGGGGAGGGGGAGGAGGAGGAGGAGGAGGAGGGGAGGAGGAGGAGGAATGAGGAGGAGGAGGAATGAGGAGGAGGAGGAGGAGGAGGAGGAGGAGGAGGAGGAGGAGGAATGAGGGGGAGGGTGAGGGGGAGGGGGAGGAGGAGGGGGAGAGGAGGAGGGTGAGAAGGAGGAGGAGGAGGACCGTGCCGGCCGATGCTGGGCACTGGCGGCGCTCCACCATGGGCGCCGGTCCCCCGGGCTCCCTCTCCATCCCTCTCCCCGGCATCTCCCTCTGCCCCTCTCGATCTCCCCGCTCTCACCTCCTCCCCCCCTCTCCTCTCGTCAGCTCTCCTCCCTCTCCCCCTCTCCCTTTCTACCCTCTCCCCGCTCTCCCTCTACTCGCTCTCCCCCCTTCCCCCTCTCCCTCTCTCGCTCTCCCCCTCTCTCCCTCTCCCCCTCTCCCTCTCCCCCTCTCGATCTCCCGCTCTCCCTCTCCCCCCATCTCCCTCTCTCGCTCTCCCCGTCGGCCCGCCGGTCCCCCGAGTGGGGCGCTCGGACTGCGAACTCGCACGTGGCGCTTCCGCGGGCCATACGTTCCAGCAGCGAGGTGTCTGCGAGCCTGCGTCGTCTCATCACCCTGTCTTAGAACAGCTCCCCGTTCCAGTGTGGCTATTTCGAACTCCTGGTCCCCCGAAGCTTCGCAGAACTCGCCACCGTGCCCCCATGAAGGGTTCGGACGCGGTATCGTGCCAAGTGCTGTCTGGCAGGATTATAAAAGCCCCTGGTCACCCCGAGATGCATGCACCAACACCCCTTCCCCAGGTTACTTTACTTTCGCAGCGCCCGAAGCCCCATTGGCGGTTTCCACAGCCTCGAAGATGCCCAAGAGAGCTTCCAACACGGCTTCTTTTTTCTGCTTCACGAATCCCACCAGCCCTTTCGGCGCAGGTGGTTTGGGGCGCTTCCTCTTCCAATCCCTGTCGTGCCCCTCCCCCATACCCCCTCCCCCTGGCTGTGGATGGGGGGGCGGCGACAAGTCAGAAGGCACAAGATGGCCCAAGATGGCTCCAAGAGGGCCCCAGATAGCCCGAGATGGCCTCCAAGATGGCTCAAGATAGCGTGAAGTCGCTCAAGATGGCTTCCAACATACCCCAAGGGATCCTAAGACCGCTCTAAGATAGCTCCAAGTGGCCTTTGGGGCTCCCCAGGACCCAGGACGCCCCCAAGAAGCCAAAATAATTCCAGCATCTTTGAAATCAATGATGTTGACCCTCTCGCCCTTTTGCTTCCGATGGCCTTCCGAGGCCTCGGGATGGTTCCAAAGAGGGCACAGAAGAGCCCCAAGGGGGGGCCCAAAAGGGCTTCAAGATGGGCCCCAAAGAGAGCCCGAGAACGTCTCAAGAGCGTCCTAAGAGAGCCCCAAGAGGCGACTTGGGGGGGGGTCTCGAGGGGCGACCCGAATGGAGGATCCCCCCCCCTCTTGGTTCGATGTCCTCCAGGAGGGTCTAAAGAAGGCCTCCGATGCCCCCAAGAGGGCCCGGAGAAGGCCCGAGAAGCCCCTACGTAAGAAGCCGCCAAGAGGCAACGAAGACACCCCAGGAGGCCCCCCAGGAGGCCCCAAATACGCCTCGAGAGGCCACCAAGAGCCCCCCAGGAGACATCCCAAGCGACTCCGAGATGAGCTCCAAGAGCCCTCCAGTCCACTGCGGCTCAAGAACTCCTCCTGCTCGCTGTGCCACCCGCGGCCGTGGCAGACCCGCTGGCCCTCACGGGACTGCCCCAAGATCTGGCCCCTTCCAAGCGGCCACCTGCACAGCACGGCACAGGGCGGGCTTCGCCCACACCTTTTGCTTTCCTTGCAATTTCCGATTCTCAATTTATCTTGGAGGGGGGCGGGCTGAGCCCACACCTGCTTCCCGCAGGGTCGCCATGGCGTCGCGGCAGCCCACACCTTTGCGGCGGAGCTGACGCACCCCTGCGCTTCGCAACTCAACGGGCAGATCGGCGCCCCAACGACGACAGAGGGCCGTGCAGACCGCGTCGGTCCTCCTCCTCCTCCTCCTCCTCCTCCTCCTCCTCCTCCTCCTCCTCCTCTTCTCCTCCTCCTCCTCCTCCTCCTCCTCCTCTCCTCCTCCTCCTCCTCCTCCTCTCTCCTGCGCTCCTCCTCTCCTCCTCCTCCTCCTCCTCCTCCTCCTCCTCTCTCTCCTCCTCCTCCTCCTCCTCCTCCCTCCTGCTCCTGCTCCTGCTCCGCTCCTCCTCCTCCTCCTCCTCCCCTCCTCCTCCTCTCCTCTCCTCTCCCCTCCTCCTCTCCTCCTCCTCCTTCTCCTCCTGCTCCCCTCCTCCTCCTCCTCCTCCTCCTCCTCCCTCCTCGTCCTCCTCCTCCTCCTCCTCCTCCCCTCCCTCCTCTCTCCTCCTCCTCCTCCTCCTCTCCCCTCCTCCTCCTCCTCCTCCTCTCCTCTCCTCCTCCTCCTCCTCCCCCCCTCTCCCTCCTCCTCTCCTCTCCTCCTCCTCCTCCTCCTCCTCCTCCTCCTCCTCCTTCCTCCTCCTCCTCCTCCTCCTCCTCCTCCTCCTCCTCCCTCCTCCTCCTCTCTCTCCTCCTCTCCTCCTCCTCCTCCTCCCTCCTCCTCACTCCTCCTCCTCCTCCTCCTCCTCCTCCTCCTCCTCCTCCTCCTCCTCCTCCTCGCGCCGAACCCCGAGCGGCGCTGCCGACGTCAAGGCGCCCGTGATCGCGCCGATCGGGCAGCACGGCTCCCAGGGCGCGAGGCGGCGTGTCCGCAAGGTGGAAGGCCGAGCACTCGAGCTTGGCCAGAGGTGTCCAAGATCTCAAGAGGCCCTGATGACGGCTCAAGAGAGGCCCCAAGATGACCACACAAAAGGGCCCCACGGGGGCCTAGGAGAGGGCAAAGACACCCGCCTACGCCTTTCGGCCACAGATGGCATGCCGTCTGCTTCCTACGCCGTTCGGCCCTAGACGCCATATGGAGTGCCACCAGGGCACCAGGGCCCTTTTAGCCCACAAGACGGCTCAGGACCACCCCAAGCAGAAGCCTCTGCGGGGCCCACGAGAGCCCGAAGAAGCCAAATTCACTCATTCCCCAAACAGCGCTTGCACTGAAATGGCCCTATCGGATACAGACGGAGTAAGTAAAGGTTCCCCCACCGATTTCGGTAGACGACCAGGCTCCCGGGTTTCCGGCCAATCGTGCGTCGAAGCTGCGTCGAACGTCCGTCAACTCGAATCGAACTTGAGCCGAACCTGGGTCGAGCATGGATCACACCTGAGTCGAACTCGAGCCCAAATGGAGTCCGACTCGAGTCCAACCGGAGTCGAGCGGGTCCACTCGGTGGGCCCCAGGAAGGTCCCCAAAACGAGCATCGAATGAGCCTATCCCTGAGATCCGACATTGCGAAAAAATTGCACCATCGCAGAAAATCACGACCAGAGCCCCAGACCCCACCTTCCTACGTCATTTCTCAAGCTGGATCGCTCTGTGAGGGTCCCGCGGCCTGGAACTGGGCGCAAACGCCCTTTGTGAAAAAGTTACAAAGCCAGGATCTCAGGATCCGCGTGCCTACCGTGGGAGGGCGCCACGTGCACGTCTGCCCTGGCCCTGCTCGGGCCGGTCCACTGGGCCCTGGCCAGGCTGCGGGAGCGTCCAAGCGGGGGGGCATCCAAGAGGGGGGGGAGCGCAAATCATGCCTGGCGGCACGTGCGCGGCGGGGGGGGGGCCGGGGACGTCATGAAATAAGAAGAGGCGCCATGAGAGATCTGGGGAGGGAGACATCGTGGCCCCCCGCCACTACGTCCACCACCATCCTCTAGTTCCCAACCATCCTGTGGTGTTGGGTCCTCGTTTTGAAGAGACGGTGCCCCGCGTTCCTCCTTCATTCCTTCCTTCCCGCCCTCCTCCCCCTCCTCCCTCCTCCCCCTCCTTGCCTCTGCTCGGCACACCTCTCACACGTTTCGCAGCCCCATAGGGAGCTCCACCGAAGGCCCCAGTGGGGGGGGCGCATGCGGTTCCCCCACCCAGGGCAGCGTTTCGTGGCCCCATAGGGAGCTCCACCGAAGGTCCAAGTGGGGGTGGGCGCATGCGGTTCCCCCACCCAGGGCAGCGCTTCGTGGCCCCATAGGGAGCTCCACCGAAGGTCCCAGTGGGGGTGGGCGCATGCGGTTCCCCCACCCAGGGCAGCGTTTCTTGGCCCCACAGGGAGCTCTACCGAAGGCCCCAGTGGCGGTGTCCACATGCGTCCGCGCCAATTTCGGCGCACCCCTCACAAGTTTCGTGGCCCCAGAGGAGCTCCACCGAAACCGGTGCCCACAATGCGGTACTCGCAACTGCACATGGTTGGGTCCTTCGTCAGGCTAATTTTGATGCTGCTCGGTTTTTGGCTGCGTTGATGAAGCGCTCCTCCACCCCCCAAGGCTTGGCCGCCCCCGAAGGCTGACCCTGGACTGGGGAACGGTGCACGGGCCCTCCCGCCTCGGCCGGGAGGGTCCCCAGAACGAGCATCGAACGAGCAAAGAGTGGAGGCCGGTCCACGAGAAACCCTCCACGAGAAGCCCAGCCCTGAGACCCCAGGACGCCCTTGGATTTTTGGCGTGGGAACGTCGCGCTCTCCACCGCAACACCATCGGAGGCCGGTCCACAAGAAAGCCTCCACAAGAAGCCCAACCCTGAGACCCCAGGACGTCCTTGGATCTTCGGGGTGGGGACGTCGCGCTCCGCGCCGCAGCACCATCGAGACCCCCACCACACCCAGGGCACCCTGGAGGCAAGCCGGCAGGGCGCCTCCTGGCCTGGGCCCCCGCTGTGTTTTCCCTGCCTGCGGCCCCGGACCTGCGGCCCCGGGCCGGCCCGGGCGGGCGCCGGGGCCCGGGCGCCCCGGGGGCGGCCCCACACGCCCGAGGGCCTCGGCGGCCGCGGCCCCCCGCGGTGGCCTCGCGCTCGGGCCGAGAGGTGGCTCT